TATTTATTCTTGATATATATATATATATATATATTAAAAAAAAACCCAAGGGCTAATATATTAAAGAGGAAAATGTACATATAGATTGTATTAGATGACCTAAAAGAAAACTCAACTCACACAATACAACACACACAAAAATCCAAAGAAACTAAGATACATAAAGATTAAAAAAAAAACCAAAAATCCACCAACATGTGCAAAGGTGCTAGGGATGTCCCATTTTAGTTCTTCCTCTGCCTCTAGTTCTCGGAAGGGAGTCAGCTAACAAATTGGTAAGGTGCGTACCATTACACGAAGTAACCAAAGTATCACCCATCAGATTTTTGAGCTTAACTATGTCTCCATTCTTCTTCTTCCTCCTGAATGTGTAGACCTGTCATTCCTCATCCGATGATTGACTCAATTGATCAATGAATTGGTTCAAAGGTGGTCGAACAGGTTTAGGACGTTGCACATCTTGATCCCCCTGAGTCTAAGTAGCATTGACATCTTTCTGTACCTGATGAGGCGGTAGTGAAGCAGCAGAGGTATTTTCACCTGTAATATCAGTGATAGGTTCTAGAGCGGGCGGAGTCTGAAGAATCTCCCTCGCCTCCACGATAGGAGGTTCCAAAGACGGGGGAACTGCAACAATGTGTGGAGACTAAATGATTGATATATGGTTTGCGAGAATAATGACGTCTTCAGGTGTATCATTTTGATGATCAATAGTGTCAATAACTTGGAGCTGATCGGGAGGAATTTGAATCACCGCCTCTAGTGGGGCTCTTTATTTTTTTGGTCTGAGGTGGGGATGTAGATGATGGCATTTAGAACTGGAGTGACCGAACATACGACAGTTCGAACAATACAAAGGAAAAGGCTCAATCTCTACCTTCTGCTAATATCCATGATGTTGTGTGCCCAACCATATTTCTTCAGAAGCGGAAGAAGTAATGTCTCTTTCAACAAGTACTCGGGCTCAGATGAACGGGAAAAATTAAAAGTAGGAATGTTCGTCTTGAGTGGCTTACCATAAGCTGAGGCAATAGAATATAACACTTTTTGAGAAAATAATCAAATTTCAGACCAGAAAGACTAATCCAAACTGAAATGATTGGTGGTTCCGTCTGTGCGTCAAAATCCACAGACCATTTCAGGATCTTCATTGCTTTGTTATTAATCCAGATTATCCTTCTAGCAAATAAGCGTGTGTAATCTTCTTCATTATTAATTTGAATAAGAATGTGTCTAACATCTAATAGTTCAATTTTTCACTTCCCAACAACGTGCATAAGTTCAAATTCCTTGCGAATAAGCTCCATTTTGGGATGACCATAGAGAAATTTCCCAACCAAATTCAGACGACAGAAGGAAGCAAGTTTGATACTTTTAACTTCTGTCAAAAAGATGGCAGACTTTTCATTTTTCATACCAGGTTTCTTGATGTCCTCCTCACACTCAAACGGAGGGAAAGAACACGATTTAGGTGTACCTGAGGCGTGGACATCTGTGAGAGCAGCTGCATACGATCTGTTTGAAGCCATCCTCAAAATAAAGGTGTAGCGTTAAGAAGAAAACACTGAAAAGTGGCGTCGACCAAAGGAGCTGAAAAGGAGAGCACCGAGAGCCATACTGCAGAGAAGCCGCAGAGCAAACACCGGGAGCCGCACTGCAGAGGAACCGCAGAGCAAACATTGGGAGCCGCACTACAGAGAGCCGCAGAGAGCCGAGACGAGAAGGAGCGGGAGCCGCAGAGAGCGACAGAGAGCCGCACTGCAGAGAGGCGCGAGAAGGGAAGAAGCGGGAGCCACAGAACTCACGAGAAACCGCAGAGCTGAGAACCTCCGAACCGAGAAAGCTCGCGAGACGGGAAGGACGCGCCGCAGATCGCGAGACCCAGGTCAGGCGCGAAAAGCGAAGGCGCCGGCGCCGGAGGAGAGACCGTAACAATTGCTAGGTTTCGCCATCAGGCGAAACCCTAACAGAGCCGAGCGGGAAGGAAGATGAAGTCATGGATGGATATATATATATATATATAACACATTATATAAACACATTTTCAGAAATAAAATAAAAAAATAAAAAACAAATATGAACCCAAATAAACATTTAATATTTTAATTCAATTTTCTAAATTCATTCTTCGTTTCTTTCATAATTGGTCAGTCGGGGGGGGGGGGGGGGGGGGGGCCTCTCACCCTCAAAAAATAAAGTGGTTGAAACTTTATAACCTTTTGCTTCATCTACCCCACATTTTCTCAACAAATCTCTATCTCTCTCTCTTCTTTGTCTCTCTATTTTAGCTTGGAAATTTATTTTCTAAGTTAAAGAGACGAATTAACAAGTAAAAATTCCATTATGATTCTAGTTTCCAGTGAAATTTATTTCTTTCGTTCTAGTAATCATCATCCCTCTCCATAGTTTCATAAATCCCACACCCTGGTCGAATCTTAGTGAATAACCAATAAATGTTTAAAGTTTGGAAGCTTGACCCAAACAAAAAAAAAAATCCTAAAAGGCATGACGCCACGTATCCACTTATATATTTTGCACTAGTTTCCATAATGTGTCTACTACTGAATCATTACACATCTTCATCCAGGCTTTAAAGAAAGTGTCTTTAAACCCCTCTCGATCATGAAAATTTCTTGGTATCAGCGCCACAAAAGTATGCAGGTTGTGAGAGATTAAAATAATGGTTAAAACAAGACCCACATCCCCATGAGAAAGATCACAATCAAGAAGGAGATAGCTGCATGGTACAAAGCAATTCCATATAATAGTTCGGTAGCTCCTAACTTGAGATTGCGTTCATGACTTTGATAAGATACTTACACTTTCATAAGAAATCATTTTGACTGAATTACAAGTATGACTGACTGATCTACTACAATGAAACTAATTTTGAGAATAGAAAAAAAAAAGTTCCTCCTACAGTTCTGAATTACACCAAATGCCTCCAAGGGAAACATAGTATATAATTTGTCCTAATAAACTCTGCAGTATACAGCACAATGCAACCGTTTAGTGGAGCAGATGCAGCCAACTCTGTTGAGAGACAAATTATTCAGAAGAAACCGCATTTTACAAGCTTGAAATTCAATTTCCTTGCAAAGTTTCAATGATATATTCAAAATAAATAACAACTTTCCAGCACATAAAACAACGAAAAACAATTTCATCAAACGTAAGAAAAAACTACAATCAGAGCACTTACTGATTCAGTATGACCAATTAATGAATGAACCAAACTGCCATCAGAAGCATTCCAAACGCATATTCGACAATCTACAGGAAACAAAAAGAATGTTAAGTCTGGCAAAGGAAATGACCTCTCAAGCTTAAAAAAACACAAGATCCATCAAACCTTGGTTGAAATGCGATAAAATCTTGAAAAGATTGAGCAAAGCGCACAGCATAAGTACAATAATTGTCATATAAAAAATTCAACAGAATAACAATAAAAAATAAATTCAAAAAATCAAGCTGAGATAGAATTCCAACCATCAGTTAGGCGGTCCACACAAACTTAACAGTCATGATGGAATTGGATATATTTTTGCAAATCCTCGATATTCAATCAAAACATACAGCTGGATGGCACCAAAAAATGAACAACACGAAAAACTTTGCAAGCACATATAGCAGCAAGTAAAGGAATTGATAACACAAATGAACAAGACGAGACAGAAAATGGTAACGCCAAAAAATGCTTGCATGCTGCTTTAGCGGATAAAGAGCATATAATAATAATACTATTAAAAGGTAATCCGTCTAAATCATAAGCACTTCCATCTTGAAACTACACACAAACTAAACTTTTTTGAACTAACCAATATATCGATTCAGCAAATAAATTCCAAAATTAGCATTCCACCCATTAGTTTGTCCACCAACTCCACAATTTTTAACGGGCTCATATAGCTCAAGGTCTTAATTGTCAAATGTAATAGCTCATTTAGTCCTGTATCTACCTTGCATGCAAATAGCCTAGTTTTCAGATAATTTTTCCCTTGATACGGGCACTCATCTTTGTTTTAGCAGCTCTATTGTGTAATAATTGTTACATAAAAATATCAGTTTTAACCATAATACATAAATAAACAACGTCCAAGAGAAATTTTGACCACAAAAATGTGTTTTCATGACATATGGCATCTAAATTTCCAATTCATTGTAGCCCGATACCATGCCAAATAGTTGACCAGTTCTATACTACAAAGTAAATTGGATTTTGTGTAAATCAACAATCATAGACTCAGAATTTTAACCTTATTAATGATGTGACCAAATCAAATCAATCGATTGAATTATAGCACCGCACCAATGCAGGGTGATATATGTACCCTTACCCTTGTAGTGCAAATAGGCTCTTCATGCAATTTGAATCAATGACCTCTAGGCCATAAGAGAAGAAACCTGATCATTAAATTTCCATTGAAGATGTGTATTAAGCATAAAAAATCTATCATAAAAGACAAATTATAATCATCCCAACAATTACAGGCCAACTTTATAAATTCATACTCTTCATTCATTCCAATAAATGCAAGGTATTAAATCTATTGTATGCACTTCTTTTTGAACAAATGTTGTCTTAGATGCACTCATTTTTCTTCCGAGCCCCTTGACACTAATTTTTTCTACAAGTCCAAAGCGTGCATTTTCTATTCCTCACTGTAGATGTCCAGACTACCTAAAACCTATTTTTCACCGCCTAATCTATAATTGATGCAATTCCCACCATCTCTTTAATATATTAATTTCTATTTATGCCAAACATACATCTTAACATTCTCGTTGCTATTACACTCACCATTGACTACCAACAACCTTCTTACTACTCAATGCCTACATCCTTACAAAAATATTCAACCTAATTACAAATAAGTATCCGTGACATTTCTCATACCAAATGATATTCTTGAAGCACTTCTTTATTTTAACCAACCTTCTGTAACTTTAAAAGTTAAATTCTCATTTACTTATTCATTTTTCATGTAATCAAATATTGCATACTGAAATCAGTCACATCAAGATATCACTTTACAGTCTAATACCAATAACCAACAATTGGTAGTATTAAACCAATTAAAACTGCATATCATATACTTAGTTTTTGTCTTACTAATCATAAATGTTTAATACTCTACACATTTTTCTCTATTGCTCAAAATTTCAATTATTTCAAGCAAATGTCTTATTAATTAGAACAATTAGATGAAAAAAAGATAAACCAAGGCATATCCCGTATAGCCAACACAAAAGAATATAAAGTCGATATTAATAATTAATGTAACACTATTTTAATGGAACTCGGTCAAATCAAAGCTACTTTTAATACACAATACTTCTGCATCTCTTTGATACATACATTTTCATTAATGCGAATCAAATCAGCTCCATGGTATTCAGTTACTGCCTTCTCAACCTCAATAAAAACTGAATGGGTACTCTTTCTTTACTCTTGGTACATGTCTATTTATTGTTTTAACACAGAAGTAAATTCTATGTTGAATTTTGTTGGCATGAAACCAAATTGACTCTTTGATAGCAATATCATTTTTCACATTTATGTTCCATTATTAAACTCATAACTATATTTTATAACTCACAAGTTTGATTCCTTTACAATTAATGCAATCCTAGATATATCTTCTATTCATAAATACTAGTATCATTTTAGCCATTAATATTTTATTGAAAAGATATGAAAATTAAATCATAAAAAAAAGATCAATAACTCTCCAAAAAGACATAAAAATCTCGAAAACTTAGCTTATGTTTCTTCCTTAAATATAACTCCCACATTTCTTTTGCATTTTTTAAAATAAAATTCCATTATTTTTTGGATCAATTTATAATTCACCTAATTTTTTTATTCTTTATGTCTTAAGTAATTCTGTCAATAAAAATTGCATTTTATAATGTTTCAAAATAGAATTTCCATTTTTCTCTGATATCTTCAAATTTTAAATATCATTTATAATGTATATACCTGATCAAAGTTTCCAAACCTTATATCCATTGCCATGGCTATTTTATACATCATGTTTTCTCCTGCCTTAAAACTTTACACTTTATGCAAACCTCAAAGGAAGTGAACTTCTTCTTTGTACATTATCCTCTTTGTAGGACTGCTAATTTTATAACCAATATAAGGCTCAACAATACATATCTATTGCCACTCTTTAAAATAACATTACCTTCTCTAATAGAATTTTCAATCTCCTCACTCTGTCACCAAATCTCTTATCTAATTTTTATCAATTTATAGACCCTCATAAACCTTCTACAGCAATCTTCTTTTCAATGGAACTATAGCTTATACAATATGTTTAATAAAAAATGCATGCTAAGTACATGACAGTAATTTTGGGAAACGGAATCACCTTATCAAAACTAGTTAGAAGCAAAGAAAACTAAAAGAATAGTAAAAATAAATAAATAATTAATTAATTAATTACAACAGTAAACAGAGAATATCAAAAACTGAATCATATTTAATATCACTTTTCTTATCACTGCTGGATTGTTATGTTAACTTTGCAACAATCTAAAATTACTATTAGATGCTGTTGGATGGGAAATTATGTTTCATGTCTCCATAGAAGTTTAGAGGGTATTTAAATGTTAACTTTGCAACAATCTAAAATTACTATTAGATGCTGTTGGGTGGGAAATTTTGTTTCATGTCTCCATAGCAGTTTAGAGGGTATTTAATATGATAAAAGATTTGGAGAGAAAGCCAACATGAACTGCATCAAAATAAGCAATAGATAACCAAATTGTTTATCACACAGAACACTTGTTTGGTTCACATTGGAATGCTTATTTGTAAGGACTATTGGACCAAATGACCATGCATTTTTTATTCGACAGTTAATTATTAAGGATTGAATTTTCCTGAAATTGAAACATTGGGTGCCACAATGAGGATATGTTTATGAAGAATTTAGGCAAAATAATGATCATAAATCACATGAGACACATAAAAATACTGACTAATACACCAAACATTAATTGCCCAAAGGAATATGAAGAATGTTGGCATGATGATGTTCATAAAGCACATAAGGAACATTAAAATACCAACCCATGATAGCAGCAAGCACAAATCGATTATCTAAACTCCAGACTATCATGTTAACGCCGCGAGGAGTAGGCTGAAACCTCTGGCGGGGACCTCCACGAGGAGGTTGGGGAGGCATGGGCGGTGGGGGAACTTTAAGATGGTATGCACGTGTCCAACGTCCAACTTTACCCTACCATAAGAAATAAGAAGACAGCAAATGTGTTTATATGTGAAAGAATTACCTCAAGGAAAAAAACTTGTCGGCAGACTCAGATACTAATTGGACACAGCAGAAAACATTTAGCTAAATTCGTTAGACCGCTACAAAATAAATAGGAATTACAAAACTTCCACAGCCGAACAGTGAATATCCAGATGAATTCTTCGGACCACTACCAAACGAATAAGTATAAAAGATTACCATAGCAAAAGCAAAACCATGCATTACATTGCAAGGGAAATTAGAGATAAAAATTTAAATAAGCACAAAAATAACATAATTGAAATAAATAATCTCACATGAGATCGCCTAGACCTTGGGATCCAAATAATTGCACTGCCATCACGTGAACAGGTAACTATGTTGTCATGAGTAAACCTAGTGAACAACACAAAATTAGTACTGGACAATGAGGAAGTCTCATCCCAACTCTCTAGGAACCCTTTAAACCTCCTCACTGTACAGTAACATGATTAGAACAGCATACAGCCTTCAATTGTCATTAAATAATCACATCAATATGCTAAAAAATGTTTTTAATCAAATTGCACCTAAAATGAAAAGCTAAGATAACACACCAGGAGTTTTTGAACTTCGGAATGTTATCCTCCTTCAGAGTATCAGTGCTGGAAAATTTAGAAGCCACTGCACAACCACTGGCAAAAAGCAATCGCCATTTAAATAAAAGTCACACCCAATAAAAAAAAAAGAAAAGAAAAGACTATGGGAAATTTACATACGTAGCACATAATTCTTACGTATTTATATATATCACACCACAACATTCATATTTACATACATAAACACTTTTATATTTTAAACTTATGCATAAAAATATCAATTTCACTTTAAAAAGTGGTAATAGTACTATTTTTGACGTGATATTAAAGATTTGAATGCTATGCATGTGAATATAATAGTTTAGGCATAAGATATGTAAATACATAAGAATTGTGTGCTATGTTTGTAAATTCGAAAACAATTTACTTCAGTTAACAAACCTGAACTGTACATAATTGACATCATTTTCATGGCCTGATAAGACATCCATCTCGTGGTTTGGTTGCTCACAGTCCTCTGCACTGTTTCTGCATGCATTCCATACCTACAACCAATCAGTTTGTTTTAATCATTATCCAATAACTTTCTACTACAAGAAATTCACACCCGCTATTGGGATTCATACCCTTGCGTAAGTATCTGAGCTACCAGTAACAAAAACAGTTCCACTAGCGTTGAATGCACAGCACAAGATTTGATGACATGGCTGAACAGCATTTGTTGAGGTATCATTCACCCTACCTGAAAACATTTCCATAATTTAACTCCTTAATTATATTTGAGTGATATTATATATCAATATAACAGCAAAAATATAATGAGATCAAATAGTTCACCAGCAGTATCCGGAGGCTTTGGAACATAAATTCGCAGGCTGACCTGGGAGTACCTAGCATCCCAGATCCGGCATGTTCCATCATCAGAGGACCTATTAAAGTGCTCATACATGATTCAGAAATAAATGGTAAAATATAACGCAAATTAAATTGCATTAATAGATCACAGTCTGAACCAAAATGCATCAACAGAAGCCAAAAAGTTAATGATAAGGTCAATCAAATTCAGCAAGCTTCAAGAAGCCTCAGAAAAACAATCGGGCACTTTACATCAACTCTAGGTACGAAAGAAATGAAATTCTAATAGAGCAAGAATTTACAAAAAAAAAAGACAATTACAATGATGTCCTTATTGCATTAAATAACGTGAAAATTAAGTCTCTGTGATTTCAAAATGCACTAGAAATCCCTATATCTTGCTAACTTATGGCAGGAAACCTAGCAAACAATCTCACCAAAGTCACAAGGACAGTAACACCGGCAGAGCTAAACAAAAATGGTTTTTAGCTGCTTGCAAATGCCAAAGGAGTTGACAAAGCAGCATAAAAGGCTTTTCATAGCGCTCATAATACAAGGACCAAGGTACTCAGTCCACCCTGACATTCTAACTGTCTAAGAGCCCAAAAACATTTACAGCCCTCAATATGACTAGATGTGTACGGGTTCCTTCAGCTCACAGCATTCTTCCAAACACACTCCCCCACCAACTCAACTCCACCCTATCTTGACACTGGGGAATATTCTGGTCAATATAAAATTACGGATGTAATGTAATAGTTTCCTTGAAAAGAGTAAAAAAGGATCAACCGTAGGTCAAAACACAACCATGAAAAAATTGAAGAGTAAAAGCAATGTAAGAAATCAAGCAGCTTCAAGATAGCAGAATTATTCAACCAGGATTTCTCAACATTAAACAAGTCAGGAAAAGTTATAAGAGTGGTATGTTGTATACAGCATGGGCCCACCCACGGATTAGAAAACCATAGGTCCGCTACTATATTTAAGGGGAGTAATTATTCTCCCTTAATTATCCATTATTGTGCTTTTATTTCTTTCCTTCTTATCAAGATGATTTGAAATTCTCTCCAATTGTATTAGGGTCACTCTGAGCTTTATATATTTGGTATTTGTTTGTATCAGTTCAATGAGAAAATTAAAATTTTTCCTCTTAAGGAAGTTCCTCCTAAATTTCACATGGTATTAGAGCCTAGAAAAAAAACATTAGCTCTCCTTACTCCACCGGAGTTTCTCCCTGCAACCGCCGTTCCCTGCAGGCCTCCCTACTAGCATCACTCCCTACAGGCTTCTAGACACAGGCAACAACCACCTCCTAGCCTTCCTATCGGTGACCCAACCACTTCTTAGGCATCAATCTTCTAAGAGAAATCCCAGATTGGATTTCAACATGTCATTTGATGTTCTCTCTCTAGTGAAAATCCCTGACGTAAGACCAAAATTTATTTGTCCAAGCATGCACTATATTTCTATTTCGGCGACGGCTACTTAATCTTTTTTGTGGAAATTTTGTGTTGACGGCAGACAGTTTCTCTCTCTGGTGGAAATCCTGTATCGATGACAGATAATTTTTCATTGAAATCCAGTGTTGGCTAACAAATTGTTTCTTCCTGGTCAAACTCCTTCCTGACGACACATCATAACCAAATAGGGCATGAAAGTTATTTCTTCCTCTTTGGAAGTTACTTCTGAACATGAACCTAGGATGTTTGGTTCTGCGACATCTAAAATCTCTTCCTCAGCACCAATCACAAACTATGGAGAAAAATATGTGTTCACGTACATTCGTGCTAAAGAAAAAGATGATCATCTCAGTAAAGCAAATCCTGCACCAAATATTATTGATCCTAAACATCATACATAGAAGCTTGAAAATCATAGTCATGTCATAGCTTGTCATCTCCATGACCATGAAAATTGGATAAAACTGCCTCCCAAACAAAACAACAAAAGGAATGTGGAATGCCATAAGGGAAACCTATTCAAATGTTGACAACACCTCTGAGTTGTTTGACATTGAAACTAGATCACATGACGTGCGACATGATGAGTTGAATGTTACTCAATAGTTCAATACTCTCTCCAGATATTGGCTCCAACTAGATATGTATGAAACATGCGCATAGATGTGCTCACAAGACTCTACAAAATCATTTTTGAACAAAAGATAACCTTCAAGTTCCTTCTAGGACTTAATAAGGAACTAGATGAAGTTAGAAGGAGAATCATGAAAACCAAATCTCTTCCTCAATTCTTGAAGCCTTTGTTGAAGTACAAAGAGAATAGAGCATAGAGAAACTCATGATCGCGGGTAATCTCACTACATCAAATGTGAAAAAGTCAGCTTTATGCACTCACAAACTATCTCAAGATAACAAATTAAAGAGGAACGGACTATGAGGTGAACATTGCAAGAAGTTTGGTCAGCTGAAGGAGAAATGTTAGAAAATTTATGGAAAGCCTACGTATTGGAAACTAACAAATTCAAAGGTCATATCAAAGAAAGCCAAGTCTTATGAACATAGTCCATTCAGCAATGAACAACTAGAAGATCTCCAAAGGTTTATGGTACAATATTTTAAGACTTCTAAAAAACTTCCAGCACATCAAGATAGTCTTCAATCTGCCCTTATTGTTCTCAACATGAAGAATCAACCTTGTATAATGAGCTTTGAAGCATTTGATCACATGACATGTGATATTAATGCTTTCTAATCATTCCATTCTTGCAAGATCAAGTTGTTATTAGAAACGTAGATGACTCTCTCTCATCTATGGAAGGAAAAGAAAGTGTCAAACTCACAAAGAATCTTATTCTTCAATCTATGTTTTATGTTCCTAAACTTAACTGCAATTTATTGTTAATCAATAAACTTGTTGCATGATTTTTGTTACTAAATTATACCGTAACGTCTGAATTATAGGTGGACTCACGGAAAATGATTGTCAATGTTGAGCTTTATCTGCTTACTACAACTCTCACTTTAGAAGGGTCGTTTCATTCATATGCCTTTGAGTCAAATCTTTTCTCATGAGACCATGATATTTCGCCTTGGGCAATCTAATTTCTATTATAATGAAAAATCATATCCACATTTACTTATCAACAAAAAAACCTAGTTCGTATCAGTGTGAAACTTGTCAACTTATTAAACAAACTAACTCGGCAAGCGTACCCAAGCCTGAAATATAAACAATCAAATTCCTTCTCCATGGTTTATAGTAATATTAGCAGGCCCTCAATAATTAAAAAATACAAATGAGCCTAGGTGATTTGTCACATTCATTGATGATCACACAAGAACTATTAGGACATTTCTCATGAAGAAAAAATTTGAAACTGCGAGCATATTTGAAACCTTCCATGACATGATCCTCACCCAATTTAAGAGTAAAATTCATATTCTCAAAATTGATAATGCCAAAGACTACCACAACTTCACTCATGGCTCTTATCTATCCAAAAATGACATCATTTATATAACCTTTATGTTGACACACACCAACAAAATGGCATGACGAGAGGAAGAACAAACATCTCCTCGAGGTAGCCCGTTCAATTAAATTCACCAATAATGTACTCAATTACTTATGGGGGGATGTAATTCTCACAATGAATTATCTCATGAATAGGATGTTTAGCTGAGTGCTAGACTTTAACATACCTCTCAACACACTTATAAAATCTTACCCCCACATTAAATCATTCACCTCTAACATACCACTAAAAAAATTTCATTGCATCGCATTTGTTCATCTACATAGACCACACCAAACCAATCTTGATCCCAATTCAATCAAATGCATCTCTGTGTGCTACTCTTTAAAGAAAAATGAGTATAAATATTACTCTCCAAAAACACAAAAAATCTACAATTTCATGAATGTTGCCTTTGAAAACAAAACATATTACCCCAAATCTAACATTCAGGGGGGTTATATTATATTTGGGATACCATTCAGGAATCTCAAACTTGCCTCCCTTATGTCTCTGATGAGCCAACTATTGTCCCTATTATCATAAATCAATCTGAAAATGAACCTACCACCCCATTAAATCTTGCAACAACTCACACCAAGAACCAAGAAAATTATTCGTACAGCAGAAAGAAAAAACTCAACGAGCATGTAAGGGATCATATACAAAATCAAAAATGCAAATCACTAGAACCAAAAAAACACACCCTTAGTATTCACACAGAGGTTAGGTCAATGCATCATGGGAAAAAAGAGGAAAAAGAAGCACGAGAATTCGTAAAACACCCGATAAAAAATTTTGTGACCTATGCAAAATTGTCATCTTACAAATCTTTTGTTCGAAATTTAAATAATGTGTGGGTTCCGAATTCAATCCAAGAGGCCTTATATATTCATGCTTCGAAAAAGTCGTGTGGAAGAAGAGATTCTTGTCCTTGAAAAGAATAGCATATGGATCACAACAAATCTGCCACCTAGGAATACAACTGTCAGGTGCAAATGGGTATTCAGTGTTAAATACAAAACAAATAGAAGAATAGAAAGATTCAAGGCTAGAGTTATAGCAAAAGGTTTCACCCAGTCTTATGAGATTGACTACTAGTAGACATTTACACCAGGGACGAAACGGATACCAGAGTTAACCCAAACCATATTAGGAAAAGCAAATATTATTATTGGAAGCAAATATGCGGTAACAATCAAATGCAATTAAAAAGAAAATACAACATGCACGACAAACAAACTCACGTTATATCAGATCCCGGGTGAAGGAAAATACAATTAGAGGGCCTGGTGAGGTAAAGACAAGGTAGAGAACGGGTTTCCATGCAGTGGATGAGTGGTAGTAATTATGGGTGCCTGGAACAACAGGACGACAAGGTGCGGCAGCCCAAATAGCAGCAGTTGGTTGTTTGAGATGGTTGGACAGCAGGAAAACAACAAGTGGTAGGCATTGCGGCAATGGCAGCAAGCTGGAATGAGGAACAGCTGGTCGGGTAGCTGAAACAGCAGAAAACAGCCCGGGCAGCTTTTTCCAGAAGGCAACAGCGAGCGGGAATGACTGAGGCAGCGGCACTGACAGCGAGCGAAAATGACGGCG